CCAGGTAGCCAAGAAGGCCAATGGCATTCTGGCATGTATCAGAAACAGTGTGGCCAGCAGGACCAGGAAGTGATTGTCCCTTTGTACTCAGCACTGGGGAGGCCATACCTCGAGTACTGTGTCCAGTTCTGGGAACTCTCACTGCAAGAAGGACATTGTGGTGCTGGAGCATGTCCAGTGAAGGGCAGTGAAGCTGGTGAAGGGTCTGGAACACAAGTTCAGTGAGGAGAGGCTGTGGGAACTGGGATTATTTAGCCTGAAGAAAAGGAAGCTCAGGGGTGACCTTATCGCCCTCTACAACTGCCTGAAAGGAGATAGCTGCCAGGTAGGGGTCAGTCTCTTCTCCCAGGCAAGTAGTGACAGGGTGAGAAGACATAGTCTCAAGCTGCGGAAAAGCCATAGTCTCAAGCTGCGTCAGGGGAAGTTTAGGTTAGACATTAGGAAGAATTTCTTCACAGAAAGGGTAGACACTGGAATGGACTGCACAGGGAGGTGGTGGAGTCGCCATGCCTGGGGATGTTTAAGGAGAGATTGGACGTGGCACTTAGTGCCATGGTCTAGTTGACGTGGTGGTGTTAGTTCAGAGGTTGGACTTGATGATCTCAGAGGTCGCCGGGCACCAGGCACGTTCCTATCTCTCACCCCCACTAACAGCTCCCCTGGCCCTCAGGCATGGCCACCCCACAGCTCACCGAGAGCACCATCACAGTGGAAGGACAGACCCTGTTCTACCGCCAGGCTGAGCCAGCCCAGCCGGTGCCAAGGCTGACAGTGCTGCTGCTGCATGGCATCCGCTTCTCCTCCGACACCTGGCTGCAGCTGGGGACACTCGCCACGCTGGCTGAGTCCATCCCATCGACCTGCCGGGTAAGGCATGGTGGAGCGAGGTGCAGCCGATGTGACCACTGGATTTGTGGTGCTGGGATGGGAATCCTGGTGTTCTGCTGTGCTTCTCTTGGTCTCTGAGGCAGCAAGGAGCCTGATAGGGCAACTTCTGTCTCCCATGACTCAGGACTGGGGCGCTCGAAGGACGCCATGGCCCCAGTGCCCGTCCATCGACCTGCCGGGTAAGGCATGGTGGAGCGAGGTGCAGCCGATGTGACCACTGGATTTGTGGTGCTGGGATGGGAATCCTGGTGTTCTGCTGTGCTTCTCTTGGTCTCTGAGGCAGCAAGGAGCCTGATAGGGCAACTTCTGTCTCCCATGACTCAGGACTGGGGCGCTCGAAGGACGCCATGGCCCCAGTGCCCGTGGGCCAGCCAGCACCGGCAACATTCCTGAAAGCGGTTTCGGAGGCTCTGTGTCTGGGACCGGCTGTGGTGATCAGCCCATCACTCAGTGGAATGTACTCCCTGCCCTTCCTCTTAGAGCACAACCACCTGATTAAGGCATATGTACCTGTAGCACCCATCTGCACAGAGAAATTCACGGCGGACCAGTATGCCCAGATCAAAGTATGGCCTGGAGAGAGACTGGGGGAGGTTGGGGAACTATGAGGGGATGGTGCAGAGGGGACCCTGGCACTGGGGTTGGGCTGGGGACAGACCAAACAGGCCAGAAACCCTGTTGCAACTGGAAAAGGGAAGCATGATGATGAAGGAGTATGGCTGTAAGCACGGTTTATTAGAAGACTGAGCCACAGTTTGCCCTCATCATGGTGAGTGTGGGAGAAGGGCAAGTGTCTCTCCTCCAGAGTGTACCTGGACAGGAGGAGCAAGTGCCTGGGTGCAGCTCAGAGGCTCAGGGTGCATTCCCTCTCTGCAGACCTCCACGCTGATCGTGTATGGGGACCAGGATGTGGAGCTGGGACAGACCAGCCTGAACAACCTGCGGCACCTCCCTGAGCACCAGGTGCTGATGCTGCAGGGTGCTGGACACGCCTGCTACTTGGACAAGCCCAACGAGTGGCACCGTGGGCTCTTGGCCTTCCTGCAGCAGCTGAAGTGAGCAGGATGGGACCACAGGGCAGGGGGATATGGCCAGCCCACCCACCCCTCTGCCTGCACATACACCCTCATGCCAGCCCAGCTGCTTGCCTGGCACCTGCACTGTGCTGGCCCATGCCGGCACCCACCTCCCTTGGGACCAAATAAACCCCCAAGCTCTGCCACTGCTATCCTGCCACTTTCATCCTGCTTCTTTCTTTCTACCCTTCTCACCTCCTTCCCTGATCCCCACCTCTGTGGCCACTGTGCCATGCAGGTTTGGGAGGTGACAGCAGGGAAGGTACAGCCACCGAAGGATTTGGGGAATCATTACCCGGTGGGTGAGTGCTCGCCTCTCTGCAGCCCACCTATCACTTCTGGCAGGACCCCTATAAGCCTCAGAGGGTGCCTGGAGAGCCCTAGGCTGTGTTCAGGGACAGGTAGGTCCCTGAAGTTAGCGACAGCTGTGTCCCCAGCCTGCCAGCCTCCTCTTCATCCTCCTTTTCCTCCTCCCACCCCTCCTGGCACGCACTCAAGTCCAGGGTAATCCACAGGGGCTTAAAAGGGACCTGCCAGCCCCAGCAGACTGCTGCCCATGGCAGCAGCAGCCCAGTGCCCCGGGGAGGCGGGAGGTGGTTTATCCTACCAGTGGCTGCCATGAACAGATGAGGAGGCGGGCGGGGAAGTCTGACAGACAGGGGGACAAGACCCCTGCCTGCCACCTGCCTTCCCCTCTTTGGTGCTGCTGCACCGGGCACTTGGGGGCACAGATGGAGCCGGCAGCAGGGTGCCCCCCCAATGCCCCCCCTCCCCAAGCCTGCCTGGGCTTTAGCTGCTTACGCCAGGACCCAGGAGGATTTAGTGGGGGAGGTAATGGGGGGGCACTTTTGTGGGCGCAGGATGCCCATGTGGGGGGCACAAGGCAGGGCCAAGGGTGCAAGGGTGCAGGAGCTCATCACTGCCTTGGCAGGATCAGTTTCTGGAGCATCCTTTGACCCC